GGCTCTATGGAGCAGGGCCAGCTGCCTGCTGGTGCAGCCCAACCTGGCTCCACAGACCCCTGTGAGCCTGCACCCAACTCTGGGCCCCACCGGTGCTGGCCTTGAGACATTGGTCCCAAAGCATTGGGACATTTGTCCCAAAATAGTGACCAGTGGATGAGGTGCCTGTCAAGGGGCGGAGCTACCCATGTGGCCCTCAACAGCTTGGCAAAACTGGGTAAGCGGCCCTCTGCCTGAAATAACTGCCCGCCCCTGCGGTAGGGACACTGACCTGAGGATGGGAGTAGGGCAGGCAGAGCTGTCTCAGACTGAGTGGGGCAAGCAGTGATGGCACTGGGAGGGGAAGGTTTGGGGGGCTACGGCCACCCCAAAACTCAGCTTAGCTTCCATAGCCACCCCTCCAAGTCCTACTGCTGGCAGCTGTCCCCGGGGGGAGATGGGACAAAGGGGAAAATAAACCTTCACCTTGCCCCTTCACTTCAGGAGGCCATGCTGTGCCAGTGTCTGGCCAAGCAGCAGTGAGGGGGGAATGATCCTGACATGGGCTGCTCCGCTCCGGCCAGGCAGATCCTGGCTCAGGTCCATGCCCGTGGGACAGGGGATGTAAGAGGAAATTAACCACCACCCTCCATCTCCGTTAACTTCATGCTGCTGGCCATGCCTCCTGCCACTTAAGCAGTGAGGGTGGGGGTGGGAAATGCCTGGCAGGGGCTGCTTCCCCCTCCAGGGACACCCTGGCTGGGGTCCTTGCAGGCTAGGGTTGGGGTTTATACCCTTCCCCAATTATACTCAGTGTCCTGCAGGGCCTGACCACACAACTCTCTCCTCTCCACCCCAGCATCTAGCCCGAGTCACTGCAGGCATGTGGCTCATTTCCCGAATCAGAAGTGAATGTCTATTCACTTGCCAATTGGTTCACTCCACGCAGGTTAGACTGACCTGCCAACATGATTCAATTCAGGCTCAGGCTTTTTGAATGTCTGTACTTAGCCCAGGTCTACATTCCCTTCCCCCCCACCCCCAAACCTGTTTCTCACCCATCCTCTGCCACAATTTGCATTTTCACTGACTGGCATTCTTGCATACTGCCCTCTGGCTTCTATTCTATTACAACCAGGAAGAGCACAAAACAACTGCAGATGCTTCCTCTGCCTGAAGAAGGGGGTTTGCACCTGAAAGTTTGCAAAAACATTTTCCAGCCATTTTAGTTGATCTAATAAAATAAATTGGACTTACCCAAAGAACCTTGCCTGTCAAAATACATAAGGATTTCAGATTCTGAAATGCTTTTAGAAGGGATGTGCATTTCAATGCTTTATAAATGTCAATTTATCATCAAGTTTAAAGGGGGCAGGGGTTCCAAGGACCCTTAAAACATCCAAAAGTATTACTTTCACAATCACTAGATTGTTGGACTAGATTGTATACGGTAAAGACAAAAAGCTGTTCAGGCAGGCCTACAGAAGTCACTAGGTTATCTGCTAATGAAAAATGAACATTTCCTGTTTTATTAAATACACAAACCAAGTTATAATGCAAATCAATGTTTGGTCTAGGAAGCATTTGGACATACTGCATCATTTTGTATGCTCAGATATCTGCATCTTTCTGGTTTCATACATATACGTGCACACACACACACTTTAATAAATTCAGCTAAGTATAACTATTAGACAGCTGAAAATCTATTTTTACCAGATAGGGTTACCAGCAACCCAAATTAGAAGCATGTGAGAATCCTTCAGTAATTTGTTCATTCAGCATTTAAAATGTTTTGTTTTCAAATTTGTGGCAATGATGCTCATAACTGATTATCAATATGACCAGTTCATACTATATTCAATATTTTGTACTGAACTCTGAAATAAAGAGGAGAAAATAGGCCCCTAAACCACATTTAACTAAAGAATACAGCAAAACAAAAACTGATATTGCTATATGAACAATTGTAGAACCTCACAATTTGTGTCAACATCTCTCTCTTTGGAACACTCTAGCAAAGCCAGAAAGTACCATCATAAAACCTATTTCTATGGCAAGTGCACGGATTAGCAGACTCACAGACCCCTTCTGGCCCTATGATCATCCAGTTTTACAGAAATTTTAAAAGAAACCTTCAAAGTGTCCCTTCCTCCCCACAAACACTTTTCAGAGTTAGGTTTCAAATGCTCTAACCAACCACCGAAAAAGAAATGATCTGTAGGTTTAGAAATTCAAAACATGAGTCCTTTGTTGTCTTCCTTCATCCACTGTCCCAAGGAAAGCTTCAGTATGCCAACAACCTAACATCTACAGCTAAATCACCTGAACATGGGAACCTGTAGGGTTAAACAGGTCCTTCAGGTGATTTGTGTTCCACTGCGTAAGTTGGTAAATATTTAAAATATGAGTTAAAAAAAATTCATCTTTGTAAACAGCTAGAAACCACCACACTAGTTGAAAAGCAACTATTATTCCTGAAGGCAAGATCCATTTTCCATGTGATAATGGGGTAGTACAAGAGGTATTTGTTAAGTCTTTATACCACACAAAGATGGCCTTCAAAACCCCACAGCTTCCCACCTCCTGGACAAAGGCTGTTGTATAGATTTGTAGATGCAGGGTCAAAAGGGACCTTGTAGATCTTCTAGTCCGACCCCCTGCCCTGGGCAGGAGAGAAAACTGGGCTCAAATGACCTCAGCTAGGTAAAGATCAGCCTCCTCTTAAAGACCTCCAAGGTAGTAGCAAGCACCACTTCCCTTGGAAGTTGGTTCCAGATCTTAGCCACCCTGACTGTGAACTAGTGCCTTCTAATGTCTAGTCTGAACCTACTTTCTAACAACTTATGGCTGTTATTCTTTGTTACTTGAGTGGGACCCAGGGGAAGAACGTCTCTCCCAATCCTCACTGGTCCCCCCTAGTAAGTTTATGGATGGCTACCAGGTCCCCCCTCAGCCTTCTGTTGTATAGAGGGGGAGGAGCACCTCCTTGGCCCTGCTTGTGATGCATCTGTGGATTCACAACAAGGTACGGTTAGCTCTACTGACCATGTCCTCGCATTGTTGGCCCATGTTCATCTTGGAGTCAATAATGACTCCAAGATCTCTTTCTGCCACTGTGCTTTTGGGAAGGGAGTTCCCCAACCTATAGGCAGTAGGAACCAGCAGCATACCTAAGAGCAGCACCCTGCACTTGTCATTATTGAATCCCATGCTATTTTCATTTGCCCACCCCTGTAACCTGTCCAGGTCCTGCTGTAATCTGTCCTTCCCTTCTAGCATGCCCACCTCACCCCTAATCTAAGTGTTGTCTGCGAATTTAAACAGGATGCTTTTCACCCCGTCGTCCAAGTCACTAATAAAGAAATTGAATAGCGTGGGCCCAAGGACCAAGCCATGGGGGACTCCACTGCCCACTTCCCTCCAGGTTGAATATGACCCATCCATCACCACTCTCTAAGTAGGACCCCTCAGCCAATTTGCAATCCATCTGACTGTGTAGGCATCAATGCCACAGTCGCCTAGCTTTTTAATGAGAATGGGGTGGGAGACAGTGTCAGAGGCCTTCCTGAAGTCCGGAAAGACCACATCTACCCAGACACCTGTGTCCAATGGTTTTAAATTTTTATATCATTTTAAAATTTAAGAGATACACTTCTGAACTCTCTTAGTATTGCTGGAAAAGCTCTTCAAGTTCTCCAAGTATGAACATTATGGGTACTGAAAGATGTGGGAGAAGCAACACATTAGTTCAACGTGGCTCCTCAGAGTCTGTATAGATTGTAGGTTTCAGCATGGCTTTTTGGGGCTTTTATGTAACTGCTGATTCAATCAGCTATTAGATAAAAGTGCCAAAAAAGCCCCTCTGAAGTGCCTGATCTATACAAATACTGGGCAAACTGGATCCAACTAATGCAATGCTTCTTCTGGGCACCTGCTGGGTTTTGCACAGGGGTGGGCAGAGGTTAAAATATAGCACCATCCGTTTTGGAGGGGGAGCGGGGGGGTATGTCTGTGAGTTTTAGGAGTTCTTACAACTCAGCTGAAGGGAGGCGATGGGGGAAGAGGGTGCATACAAGTCATTAACTAAGCCAGGCATGGCCAACCTGTAGCATGGGTGCCAGAAATTGTACTGGCAGCCTCTATATGGCATATGCCAGACTGGGAAAGGAACAAGATGTACAGCAGCAGATTGGGCAGGGGAAGGGATCAGAGTAGCACTCAGGGAAAGTGCAGGGTGTTTTGTGGCATGCTAGCCAAAAAATCTGGTCTCCACTGAACTAAGCCATTCTTTAACCAAAACATCTATTCTCTCAACTGCTCACCTTTGAAGGTCAACTCCATGTTTAAGCTTCCAAACATGACTACGTGGGTTAGAGCGTGATTTTTTTTGCCAACACTTATCCTGACAAAGATATTTACATCAAATGTGGTTTATTCCAGTTCCTCAAATAAAATAAGCCATGTTGTTGTAAAAATATTTCTATACTTGAATAACTGCACCCACATAAAACAAGCATGCAGAAAATCTCAACTCATTTTTTCTTGGCTCGCTGAGGGAGGTGAGGTAGTAGAGGGGTGGTGGGGGAAGGCAAGCAGCACAGGAGAGGAGAATGGGTAGGGAAGGAACTTTCAGACTATCTTCTTTTGCAGGTCACCTTTCTAGGCAAGTCTCATAATGACATTCCTGTAAGTATGACCACCCTTGTTCAATGTGCTATGCATCATAAAAGCCTCCAAGCAAAAGCTATCCTCAACCAATACTGATGTATAAGTATTAAAAAAAAATCATTACCTGTGTCAAAAGTACATCATGATTGTTGATGAAGCACATTCCAAAAGAGGAAAGGCAGGCACATGGGAAGAAAAAGGAAAAAAAGATTAATTTGTAATCCAAACTTCAATGTATAGTAGCATACACAAATATGTCCAGCCCAGTTGCACATAAACTGTAATTGAAAATACACTGAATCTTTTATACCTACAAAGGTAATTGAGTATTACTTTATCAGTATATCACTGCTTTTTATGTACCAAGTAAGTGGGACATTTATCACTTTAAAAACATTCAACTTCAACTATTCTGAGATTAACCAAGAAGAAACCACTGAGATGAGCAGACTATTTAATCAATTTAGGGACTCTGGCTTTGAATCTTATTCATAGAAATGTCTACACTAAATATTAAACTACAAACACTCCTTATTATAAACCAAGACAGGGCAGGGTGGCATCTTAGATATTAACTTGCCCAGAAATGGTAGGCGGTCCCTATGAAGGCTTATGCCTTTCCAAACAAGTCAATCTCTAAAAGATGCTACCTTACCTTCTGTCTGACTGGAGACTAATACAGTTAGCTACTCTGCAATCCAAACTGAGACAGAGCTATATCTCACCTCAGAGGTTTATAACAGCTGTCCATAATTATTTTCAAAGCCAGGACCACGTCTTAACATAAGAGTGCCTTGTGAATGTCATCCTTCCAATTAGCAATCAAGTACTATCATCATCATAATGTACTGCAGATATGAAAAATTACATTAAGGAAGTACTTAATGAACTTTCACCATCTCTGATATAATGAGTATGCTGAATCATCTTTTTTCTCCTCTTTCCTTTTCCCACTCCCGGCTGCTGTTTTCTCTCACTGTGTCCTCTTGTCAAGGTACTGCCGCTACTCCATTCCTTACTCAGAATTGCATGTTTCTATATCACGTTTCCCATGCTTCCTTACAGGGTGGTCAGCTATCTGGTCTGTATCAGCACATCTGAAAAAACGGGATCACCAAAAGTATCTATTTTCCCCTTCTCTTATGTAATATTAGCCTCTAGTGGACACAGATTATTTGGGTTAGCCTAACTTCAGCTCCATTTAATTTTCCAAGCTTTCTGCATAGTAGAGCTTGAACTCTAGAAGCATCTGAAAACAAGGAGAGCTGATACTTTTTGTGCACTGTTCCCCGGTGCTACATTAACTTCCAGGAGACCTTGTGCTAGTCCAGTGGGGAGTCAACCTTCTTGGCAGGTTTGCCACAAAAATAGCCCCGCATCCTTCCTAAGTGCCACTATAGTCCCCTTCCTCTGCCTGATCTGCTGCTCTTTGTTCCCTACTTTGTGCTCCCTGCTTTGCCTTCTGCTTCCTGTCCTATTTGCTATTATGCTGCCTTGTCCCTTCCCTGACCTATCACATGCTACACATGCTTGCTTGTCCCTTCCTTGACCTGCCTATGCCACATGTGGCACTCGTGCTGAAGGTTGGCCACCTTGGCATTAGTTAATAGCAAAAATAGCATGTGTGCACTCTCTCACTCTGTATTCAGTAACACATTGATTTTTAAAAATTCAATAATGCTTATGTCTATTAATAAAAAGTCACCTACATAAGCTCCAGGCATTTATGGTAGCCAAAATTAAAGAAAAACCCTATGTAGCCATTCAGTAGACAAAATCAAAATCCCTTAAACCACCAGCTCTACCAGAAAACAAAAAGCAACACAAAAAAGGCCAAGACTAGAAAGTTAATTTGGCTATCTGCTTCTATTCAGTTTACCCCTTAGAAGAAAAAGAACAGGAACATAGTTAAGTGGCTTCAACATATGTTGCAAAAGTAATAACAGTGGTAAATAATGAGTTTTAGCTGCTTGGGATGAGAGCCAAAAGCCACTGATATTTAAACTTCTTGAGCAGCAGAGAGAAAGGGGAAGGAGAGAGGGAGTGGGGGAAACGCATAAAGAGCAGAAAGGTAGTATTTCTCCATAAAACTTGGTAAAAAAAAATCTAAGTTCAAATGGCACCAGGATGCCCAGCTAATATTAGAATTAGAACCAGTCAAAAGTTCTCCATCAAAGTCTTTTCCAACATAAAAAAACCTTTTCAAATCATTTTTAAAAAAATGTACAGAAATCAAAAGATAAGGGGGGGGGGGGGGAGCTGCTGAGAAGCAAAAATGGCTCTTCAATTAAATCCTGAAGTTTTAAAGACAAGCTGAAAATTGTCCATGAAACATTCTGTTGGAACAAAATCATCCCCCTATTCATTGCAATCTTCTGTGAAGTCAGGAGGCAAAACCAAACCAAACAAAACCAAAGATAAATTATGAATATTAAAGATTTAAAAAACATGAAAACAAGTCAGAAAATCCGCAATCCCCAATCTTAAAATCTGTCCCATCACAATGAACAATATCAGGTTGCCCTTCCCACACATTTTACTACTGTATGCAATATACATAGCAACACTCATTTAACAAGAAAAGCAGGGAAGGTATTAAACAAGTACACCACGGTTGAATTAATATTCTACTTCCTGGGCCCTGCTGTGATCCAGTTACTTGGGAGAGGTACCACAAGACTGCTAGGCTCTTATAACTTTATTTTCTGACTTCTATGAGAAAAGTGCTTCTAGAGAAGGGATGCAGGAAGAGGGTAGGGGCACCTACTAGGACTGTACCTTCTAATAAAATGGGAAAGTGTACTTGTGTGTAGCTCTTCTCTCTCTTTCTGCATCATCTTTCCCCTGCTCAAAAAGGTGGGGAAAACAGTTCCTGACAACCCTGCTTAATGCCGTTTTGCTTAGTGCTATTTCGCTATAACGCTCATTTTACATTGATGCCCGATTCCACTTAGCGCTCAGCGAGTTTCGTTATAGCTCACAGGCTCGTACAGCTGGCAGTTTGTTTCGCTTAATGCTATTTCCCTTAGCACTTAGTTTTTCGGGAACCAATTAAGAGCGCTAATCAGGGGTTGCCTGTACTTCCTGAGCAGGTCACTCCTAAAGAACTTGGTAGACCACTCACTGACTGCAGGATTTGAATAAACCTCCAAGATTGGGTTTTCTTTTCCTGGCAAGAGATTATTAAGGACCGTCTACTAGTACTTGAACTTTGTCATATTTCATCCCTTCTATAATATATTAGGCTCTTAAAAAGAAAGAGAACTTTTGTCTATCCTTGTCTATACAAGCTGGGTATACACAGGATCCTATGTACACCAACTTCTTCAAACGAAGAGAACCCAAATCACAAAACTAAACTACCAGTACTCCCAGCATCTCGGGAGCAATGCACATTGACTCCTGTATCTCTTCTAAACAGCCCTTTATGAAGTCAAAGTTAGGTGGAAATCCAAATCTACCTTTTCACCATGAAAACCTTCCTGGAGTTGCACAGGAAATCAGCTAGATCAAGAGTAACTGCACCTCAGGAATTTGAAGCTTCCAGATTCTAGGCCAAGAAGTTCTGCCAGGGCCTTCCAAATCACCCAAGTCTCTAGTGGGTGAAGGGGCTATGTGCAAGTGCCAAAGATCACTTTCCCTAGCTGTGGGAACCAAAGTCTCAGAGCCAAAAACAAAATCTTACCAAAACAGATGCGCTGTATTCCTGGGTTTGGCATAGCTGTTCTTACCAAATATGAAAATAATATAGATATTGTCCTTCCTATTCTACTCTTCATGTCTTGTGCCATCTTTCTCCAGTTTCCAACTGCACAGTGTTTCTCCTCTAACCTGATGGAATGCAGCTGGAGCTTTCCACATGATTTAATGTTACCAAAAATCAGCTAATTAATGGTTACCAGCCTTAGTACGGCTTTCCTCATTTTCGGCATGCATTCTTCTTCAGCCTTTTGTTGCATTTTATTTCAAATTTGACCAGGCCATTTTGGGGGCAGGACCATCTTCCTATGCATTTGTACAACACTAAGTACAATGTAATCCTAATTACCATGGGGGAAGATGAAAGGTGGGGGGTGAACACAGCTGCAATATGAAGAAACTGTCCTCTTTTAACCCTATATTCTATTCGTAAAATCCTGACACGCTCAAAAATACTGGTGCTTCTTCAGAGAAAGGATTAACATGACCCTTTCTTTCAAGAGACCTGTACATGATAGCAGAAGCTGAGGAGTAATCTGCAATTTTTTACAGAATTTAAAAGGGAGGATGTATGTGCCTGGTGGGGTCAAGAAGAAAAAAAAAATAATAATTCCCTCTGGTACATGCCAATACTGATTTTTAAGGTCAGATTTTCAAAGGTACTCAAACAGTCATTTCAGCACATCCCTGAAATGCTTAGGACCCAGCAACTCTGAGAGATCATGATGACAGCTTTTGGATATGAAAAATCTTTTGAAAAAAATCTGTCGTCTCATTCAACTGCCTTAATGGCAGTGGCTTAGGAAGTCTGGCTTACAAACTCTATTTTGTTTCATCGCTTTTGCCTTAATTACTTGTCACATTCCATTCATCTTGGCTCTTTTTATTTTTTGCCTGTTTCACATTGGATCTTAGCCAACACACCACAATATTGTTGTGCTTGTATTCAGACAGGGATATGAAAAGAACTGCTACTGGAAATAAAGGTAATTCCATAATAAAACACTTCCATTTTCCAATGTGAAGGCAACTGGTTACCCATGTTTACATGCAACACTGACTCCATTCACCAGGCACATTTTAGTTTTATAAAACTAGATTTTAGATCAGTAGTTCTTAATCTCATTAGACTCAAAACTTGTCTTCAAAAATGCCAGCTCTTAGCTTTCACTTGTTTTTTGGAGAGAGGAAAAACAGAGCAATTCTTCTACTGTGAAGAATTCAAAAAGACCACACAACAGGTCAGAATGTTTTGACACTGGATTGCCATTTGAAATCTCTAGGTTTCTTTTGTAAAACATGTGCAGGTGTCTGCATACCCAACAGTGCCAATATTGTATGAGTGCCTTAAAAGGATCTTGTGGCACCCCAGGCCTGGTTCAGAATCAGCGCTTTAGATGAGGCAAATGTTCAGGTACCCAGACCTCTGATTATGTAACATAACATCTGTAAATGTTACACCTTTTTTTTTTTTTTTTTAAATGAACTGTTCTGTAAAGATCCAAGATATGAAAGCATTTCTGAAGTTTTTATTCTTCCACTTCTTCACTAACTGAATTTTATAACAAAGTAAAACTTGTTCCCTTGTTCAGGAAAAGAAAGGAAAATTACCACACCAACAAACAAACAAAAAAAACAGTAATAGGGAAGGTAAACAGCACTTCAGTATTTAAAAGACTAATTGCCATAAGACTCTGTGTAGGGTGGAAAAAGAAAAAGTAGTGAGAGGAAATATGCATAATTGAAAAGATCCCTTACAGATCACTCCAAGTAAGTATTAGGGGTGCACCAACAGAGATTTTGGGGGCCAATACCAATAGCTGATTTTAAGGAGGCATATCAGCCAATACCAATCTGATTTCCGATACAGCCGCGTGCAGCTGATAAGTCTGTTGTGGTGAAAGGGGAGGGGGAAGGGAAGGGGTGTGGGGGGGCAGATCAATGCCCCTCATGGTGAGGGAGGAGTGGGGGTGGGGCAGGCATGGAATGGAGCCCCGGCTCATCTGGGGGATGCAGGGAAGAAGGCAGCAGCTCCTGCCACTGCACGCCACTGGTCCAGAAGCCGCTCCCACCACTACTCCCACCACTCATTTGGGGAAGACCTGCCTCTGTATCTGCACAGGGCAGGGAGGGTGGACTGTAGCTGCGGGCTGGGGCCTAGGACCACTCTGCGCTGCACTCCAAGTGGGCTGTAGCCTGCCCAACTCCACCCCCATGCAGATCTGGGGGATCATGCCCCCCACCCCATGCAGATCCAGTGGAACATAACACATCAAGCCAATTTCTGATATAGGCAATTTTCTTTATATCAGTGCTGAACTGATATTGGCCCAATGTATCAGTGCACCTCTAGTAAATATGTATCAGAATATGCCACACTGCTCTGTGAAGATTATGTAACCAGATAACTGGATGGGTTGGACATTCCTAAACCTAACATTCTGCCTCTAAAATATTTTTCATATTATGAAATTATTAAATTAATTCTAAAGGTCAGGCTGAAGTTGTCTTCATTTAAACATGAGACAAGTCACACTTCCTTTATTACTTAATATTGTAGTGTTTCTATGTTAACGTGAATAGCGTGACAAGATTCTGCTTGTATTTTGGTGCATCTTATTCGGAGTAAGCTTCCTATTACAGAACTGAGGAACAGAGATAATCATTTACCCATTCTTCCTCAGGGCATCACGCTATTTTGAAATACAACTTGACTAAGTGAAGTCTAGCTCTAAGAACTACGAAGTAAATCCTCAAAGTGTGAACTGAATGCAAGCTGACAGTGACAACTGTTTGAGTCTGCAGAAATAGCTAGCAGTGTGAACTGTTCATCTTAAGATGAGCATTAAACACTAACCCTGTGTTGGTAATTTGAAATGTCAACACTGTTAGCTATCTCCCTGCTGATCAAAGCCCATGAGAATATACATTATCAGATTACAATGACCTGCACAATTTCTTCCAGGTAGCATTAATCAAAATTCACCAGCAAGTGGAGTTTGGGCTGCAGATGCAGCTTGAAAGAATACTACCTCCTCCCCAGTCTGGATCCGGGTATGCCATTTAATATGGAACATGATTAAGGCATAATTTATTTACAACAAGAAAGTTATGTTTACAGTCCAAATGCCAAAGAGCCTCTATCATCTGTCATTTTGCTTCTGGTTGTCCAGCACAAATCCTTCTCTCATTAAAGCCAACAAATCAAGTTCCTTAATAATATCTGAATCCTTCACGGACATTTTTTCTGGCCTGTCAAATTATCAAATTTATCTGGTCTTGGATCTTTATTACTAAGGTTATTAGTACAGAACTGCACAGCCCTCTCAAGAAATCAATGGCTTCAACTTCCTTCTCACCACAAAGCACACTTCTGTCACTTAATTTGGCTGTTGTACCCACGATAACAGAGAACAGAAGAGAGCCAGCTGCATTTGAAAGTTTTATGAAATGCTTTTTCCTGCATACATTAAAACAGTGAAGTAGAAATTAAATATCGTAAGATCATGGCAAAATAAGGTTGGGACAGACCTTACGAGGTCACCTAGTTCAGTCCCCTGCTCAAGACAAGATTGGAAGTGATCTGAAAAGGCTTCCATTTAGAAAAAATCTAATCAGAAGCAACCAGCAGCTTCTTAAGGATGTTAGAAATAAACTTTTGCAAGATAAAGTGTCAACATCTACCTAAATGTAGCCATAAAGATTTCATATATATACATTGTATGCATAGAATTCAATAGGCATTTATTTAAAAAAAAAGCCATCCCCCCCACCAAAAAAACCCAATCCTGCCACCTTGTGGTATACTGACAAGAATAATCAACTACACACACACTTTGGTGCCTTCACTGCAGCTCTGAAAGTGTACCTTAACAAATTCTTCTCTAAAACACTGGGTAATAGTTAAGACTCATTCCTCATTCACATATTGGCTACACTGTGTTTCAGAAAGAATCCAAGATATTAATCCACAGCGCAGAGTCAACTTTTGGGAGGGGTGGGGTGGAAAAAAAAATCACCTAACAACTAAATTTAATTTACAATATGCCCTAGTTTAGCCAACTATTCCAACCTGATTGTAAATACAATTGAGGATATACCCTGGCTAATAAGCACAGAGGAAATAAGATGTGTGCTACACTGTTGAACTGTTTATAATCTTAGTGCCTTAATTGCAAACATTCCACTGACCACTAGGTAGCACTGTTTGATAAGGTTAACAGAGAAGTGCCATGGAAAAGGAGGACATTATGGAAAAGGACGACATTATTCCACTGCAATGTGGCTTGAGAATTTCTTAACACTCAAAATTGCATCTCAGTCTCTATATACATCAGTAACTCACTCCATAATGCCTAAAACAAGAGTTTCCCAAGTCTCTTTCAAGCATACCTTTTTCTACAGTCTTCTCAATCACCACCTGAAAACCAACAGGAAAAAGAAACCCTTGCATGCAAGCAAACAAGGCAGAGTCTACTCCACTTGCCCGTCAGTTCTCCAGTACATGTTGCATCCTTAAAGAACATGCTGGATCTTTACTGAGAGGCCCAGGTTTTGCTGGCCCTTACACAGGTATAAGGGGAGGACTTAAGAAGAGATTCATCTTCTTTTACACTGCTCACGTAATAAGGACCAGGCAGATTTGCAACCCAAACTGCGCCTCCTATAACTCACATACCTTGAAAGGCAGCCTTCAGTCAAAAAAAAAAAAAAAATTACATACTAAAATGCATCCCTGGGTCCCCTTGGAACACAGCAAAATGGCACCTGGAAGAAGGTCCTTGCCATACATCTGTTCCCAGGAAAGTATTTTGATTGTCCGTAAGGCTCCAAGTATTGACCTACCAACTTCCTTTTCCCTTCATCTCGTTGCCCAATATTTATTCCACATGCAACAGAGCCAATCTCAATATCATCTGGCAGAGACAGCAAAGGAAAACCTTCCCAAGACAGCATCCCCTATTCCTCCCTGACAAAAAAAAGTCACAAAGAAACAAGAGGATAGAAGCGGGACTGTATCAAACCCAAAGAAGGAATTCAGTACAGAGCACAAGCCTTCAGCAGGCTTCCTTCAATAACTGCTTTGAGATGGGCACAGTCTCCAAATCAGTAATGACATCATAAAAGAGTTGTTACCTTTGAACAATGGCTCACAGACTGCATACATCAGCTCTGGAGGGGGTGTTTAAAAAACCCTATGGGCCAGAACTACCATGGCTTTCCCTCTGAACTAAAATTTAAACCTGTGTGCATGCACAATAGAGATGATCTGGTTGAATTCACAGCCCTGGAATGACAGAAGGAAGCAATTACAGTTTTGCGTACTAAATAGTCTTTGAGATTATGCTTCATTTTGAATGGATCTGTAGCAGACTGAGCACATGACTTCTCTGGAAAGTTAACTTCTCAAATGCCACACAATTATGGCAGAGCAAAAATAGGCTCTAAGCTACTATAAGAACCCAAGTGTTGTTAAAGTCAAAAGCAACTGGAACAGTATTAGAGGCAAAAGGGGAAAAAAACCCCAATGAACAAAAGGAAACAATCTCTCAAAATTAGGCAGGCACATCAACACCAAACTTCATTTTTCACTTTAAAATAGTCAAATGACAAAAGGACTATATATCAAAATCATTTCTCCCTTCTTCACAACAAAGCTAGCATCACTTCTCAGTATATCAAAGTTAAAACAGGCACTCTGATTAATCGGATTACCAGTTTCCCCACCAGTACTGTCTTGAAGAATCAACTATAATGGCTGATTAAATTTGCCTCCTGCAACACTCAATTTCCAGGAGGCCATCAGCGCATTCTAGAGCAAACATGGCCATGGCTTCCTACAATGTTGCATGTTTCTCTACGAAGTTTGTATTGATGAATAGTTCTTCTCATCCTTTTCTGCAGTCTCTCATATTGTACCACCAGAAGATCAAGTCATTTGAAACCTGACCTCTCTGCTTATTTAAAAATAATGATGTCTTCCCCACAGAAATTGTAATTACTCACTGAGATAATTATTTTAATTCTAATATTCTAGATTTGAAACCTAACCAATGACTTTCAAATGCACAGGAATAATCATTCAGAGAAGGTAAAATGAATCATTAATGGATGTAAAAAAAACCCCCAAAAGCCTAACTATTCTCTGTTTACAGAGCCATATTTGAAAGTAAATGTCTAGTATGTTTAAGTGTTCATAATTAGAGGATATATACATGAGTCATTAGCAAGCCATTTAAAGTCAGTTTTCATTATATTTATAATTTTAGTGGTGCTCCAGTATTTCTGATAAATCAAACTAAAAAGAATTTTTAAAAAAACAGTTATCTTAGTAGTCTTTACCTTGCTGTTTGGCATTTTTGCTTCCATTTTTTCTAAAAATCAATTAGTTTGGAAGACAGACAAATAAATGGGCCACAATAACTGTTTGCAAATACTTGAAAGGGTACCATTAAGACAAGGGAGAAACACTGGTCTCCCTTGCAACAAGACGCACAGAAATGAGTTTGGAGTTCAGCAAAATGAGTTTAGAACAAATTCCCCATAACCACTGTCCTTGCAGTTATTGTTTGACCACAGAACAAGCTTCTTAGGAAAGTTAAAAAGAATCTCCTTTACTGGAGGTTTTCAAATAGGAAACTGGATAGGCACCCATCTGGGACATTTTAGGAACAACAAAACATCCATCTGTTGTTCTAGGCCAACCCCACCTGAACAAGGGGTTGACCTAGATGACCCGTGAGGTACCTAATTCAGTCTTATGATTCCCCTGGCTAAGATTTTTTTTTAATGAATCAGAATATTGGCAAACATAGTAAGGAGTTACTCTGTCTGACTAAAGCATCAGTAATACACCTGACCATGTTCACATTATTTTGTTAGCAGAGAAAGAATCTATACATTGCCACCAGGCATTAATGAAAATTATTATTTTGGTCCCTGCAGCAGTATGAAAGTTCACAAGACAAAAAGCATTCATTGCCACAACTACACTATAAAAGAGAAGGGCTATTCACCTCTAACTTGATTGTTCAGAGTAGATATCAGGAAAAACTTCCTTTGCTAAAGCAGCTCAGAGAAGTTGCACAACTGCCCTCATTAGAAGTTTTCAAGAGGCATCTGGATAGGTATTTGATAAGGATAGTTAAGGAAACCACACCCATGTTCATGTGGGGTTGCACCAAATGACTCTTGATGTCACTTCCAAACCTATGCTTCTAAGGGCATCTGTAAAATGTCCTCTGGAGTGGGGTGGAGGGGCACTTTAAATTAAAGCTGCTCTGAAAGCCGCTCTAACTAAAGCACCCAGTGTCATGTATATTCAGCATTCCATGCTTCAAAATGGCGGCAGAGGTGCTTTAACTAAATGAGCTTTAGTTAAAACGCCTCCGCTGCCATTTTGAAGCACGGGGACAATGAATACATGGTGGCACAGAGGATGCTGGAGTGTGCCAATTAGCACACTCTAGCAGACTTGCAGCAGGCTCTATTACTTGAGAGTGCGCCGATGTGTGCTAATTAGCACACATTGGAGCAGAGCTCCGTCACATATATCGTTGCCCTAAGATTTTAATTATCCTGTCTCAGCATATGTACACTCTCAGATCACATTCACAAAACCCTCAAGCAGTGGTAATCTCAAAAGGATACTTAGTACTGCAATGTTTTTCCAGTTAGGCCATCTGATTTTAACAAAGAACTTGACATCTTGCTCTGAACTGACATCATTGAAAACAAATCCAGTGGATGAGACACTATATCAATTTATAAATATGAAGTCTCCCATTTAATAATGGATTACCTGTCACAACAAAAGCTAATACTACACTTTGTTATCATGCTCATGTATACATTTGTCCACTAGTTATGCTTTTAACACTGCACACATGCTGAGAACTCTCTCAAGTGTTTCTTTCATAAGATCAAACCAATACTGTAAATGATTACTTCAGCAAGTGGGCTTTGCTTCTCTGGCCACTTACATGTGAGCAATCAAGTTTTTCTGTTGGCAAGAAATTCTAAACCGAACTCTTCTCCAACAGACTACCTTGATTAGATTATGTACGAAAATGTTAGTGCTGTAGAAGGAAAGGAATATTAAAGCACAGATATTTATTCTCAGGTCAGTTGAGAAGTAAGACCATTCAACCAGGATTTAAAACTACCAGAATAGATTTAATGCCTTGCAAATCATATTCACGCTACCAAGTAGTCTCATGAACCATAACCTAGGTCTCCTGTGGCCCTGTTGCAAGGGAAAAATAGGCAGATGAAAGACAGAACTTGGTATTCACACAATCATAGGAAAATAGGGAGGGACCCTAGGAGGTAATTTCATCCAGCACCTCACCACACCTTCACTAAAGACAAATTTGTCTGATGTGCATCAAAAACTTCTGATGAAAACTCCATAACCTCTGTACAAAATCTGCTCCCGTGCTTAAACCACTTTCACAATTAGAAATTTCTTCCTTTGGCAATGTTCCCTCTAGATAGAGACTAACTGATCATTATTGCTATAACAACCCTATTTATACTTGAAGACTTACTAAATAATTCCAATTCTTCCAACTTTTCCTTGCGTCAGGTTTTCAAAACATTTAATTTTTGTTGTTTCCCTCTAAGCCAGGGTCAGCAATGTTTTTGGGCAGAGTGCCAAAGCCACCTGCAATCTGGACTTGTAAGAAGTTGGCATGCCAGGGGTGGATGGCAGGAGAGCCACAAGGCGCCCAATCCTTGTTGTGGCAGCACAGCCCCAGCCCCTTCCCTGCTGTCTGCCCCAAAACGCATGTGCAAGGCAAAATGCCTTTGTGTGCCACACTCTGGCACCCATGCCAAGGGTTGCCTACCTCTGCCCTGCTCTAGGCTCTCTCCATTTTGTTTACATCTTTCTTAAAGAGTGGTACTCAAAAGATGGACACACTACTCCCAGTAAGCCCTCAAATATGATGAATAAAGTGGAATTCCCTTGACTTGCATAACACTCCTCTTAACACACCCCAAGTATGCCATTAGCTCTTTTTGCAACATTACACTATTGACTCATATTCACTATGTGATCCACTATAGCCCCCAGCAGGTTCTTTTCTACAATACTGCAGCCTACAAAGCTATGGTTCTCCATTGATTATTCCATCCTAAATGTATTTTTTGCATTATCTTTATTGAATTATATACCCCATTTAAATTTCAGCCAACTGCTCCAATTCATCAGTCATTTTGAAATCTAGTCCCATCTTCCACCATGCCTGCAACCCCACTCAAGTTTGATGCCATCTGCAAATTTAAGTATTCATTCAACTGCATTCTCCAAGTCATTAATAAAGCCTCTGAATAATTCTGAACCCTGAATATACCTTTGAGGAACCCCATTTGTTACTTCTTACCAGTTTGAGAAGGAGCAATTGAGAATTACTCTTCAAACATAATATCCAAATATTTACACTGCCCCCATAGTAGCATTGCCTCAGTTATGCATATTATCCAATGCCTTACAGGTGTCCAGGTGTATCATCCACATTATTCCTCCCCACCCACAGGGCCCATTTCCCTATGGCAGAAAGGAACAACGCTGGTTAGGCATGACTTGGCCTTGACAAGTTTATGTTGGTTTTTCCTGATCCCCCTATAAACATTTTGGCTACTTATAGATGTTAAAACAAAAACAACAACAAAAGCCATGCTTTACCAGAAGAAGTAGTGCATTAGTTCAACCTGGCTATGCAGCATTTTTACAGATCGGGAGCTTCAGCAGGTCTTTCTGGCACTTTTACCAAACTGGTTCAGTCACTTATTAGATGAGAGCACCAAAAAGCCCAACTAAAGCACCCAATCTATACAGACACTGCACGAGCCAGGTCAAACTAACAATGTCTTTTCCAGGCATGCACTGGGCTCAGGCAGAAGCAAAAGAACACCAAGTTTAAAGTAAAGCACCTTTTTTTGTTTGTCTGTTTGTTTAACATCTGTAAGTAGCCTTTAAGGCTTACAAGTAGACTGACTATAGCACATACTCTGGCTCCTTTTCCCCCACCTATACTAGAAAATGGTCATTATATTTGCTGTTTCCAGTTTTCTGGAATGGCAAACCTAACCTATGTGAATTCTCAAAAAGTAACTGGCTACAAAGACACTGTCACTAGTCAGTACTCTAGAATGAGTCATAAAAACGTAGCAAATTAGGGTTGGAAGGAACCTCAGCAAGTCATGTAGTTCAATCCCCTACTCAAAGCATGATTATCCCTAACTAGATCATCCCACCCAAGGCGCTCTCAGGCTGGGTCTTAAATACCTCCAAATATGGAGATTCCATAGCCTTTCTTGATAACCTGGTCCCAGTGCTTTACAGCCCTCCAAGTAAGAAATATCCTAATATCTAACTTAAACTTCCCCTGCTGCAACTTAAGACCATTGCTCCTTGTTCTGTCATCTGCCACCACTGAGAACAGTCTAGCGCCATCTTCTTTGGAATGAGCCTTCAGGTAGTTGAGAGCTGCTATTAAATTCCCCCTTA